ACTCAGGTTGTGAGGCTTGGCAGCGAGGCCCTTTTCCCGCTGAGTCCACTGGCCCACCTCTCCACCTCCTTAACCTTGTCTGTAATGGAGGGCTTCTCCTTCTTACTCCCCTTTCTCCTCCCCCAGGCTGTGTATAAGATGGCTGATGTCGCCTGCAAGTGTCACGGAGTCTCCGGGTCCTGCAGCCTCAAGACCTGCTGGCTTCAGCTGGCTGAGTTCCGCAAGGTGGGGGACCGATTGAAGGAGAAGTATGACAGCGCCGCGGCCATGCGCATCACCCGCCAGGGCAAGCTGGAGCTGGCCAACAGCCGCTTCAACCAGCCCACCCCGGAGGACCTGGTCTACGTGGACCCCAGCCCTGACTACTGCCTGCGCAACGAGACCACGGGCTCCCTGGGCACCCAGGGCCGCCTCTGCAACAAGACCTCGGAGGGCATGGATGGCTGCGAGCTCATGTGCTGCGGCCGCGGCTATGACCGCTTCAAGAGCGTCCAGGTGGAGCGCTGCCACTGCAGGTTCCACTGGTGCTGCTTCGTCAGGTGCAAAAAATGCACTGAGGTTGTGGACCAGTACGTCTGTAAGTGACGGCGCCCACGCCTCCCGCCCACTCCCCTCTGCCTCACAGAAGTCTATGTTATATAAATCTATCTAAATATATTTTATATTTGTACAAACGACTGGATGGATGATGCATACGCAAGAGAGGAAAATGGAGAGGAGGAACTTAAGAGACGCTGGCCCTCTGTGAGGACTGGGCTTTGCTGCTCATCTCTAGCTGGTGGGAGCGAAATGGGCTTTTCCCTGCTTTCTGGCCAGAACTCTCAGGACACAGGGGCTTGAGAGTGTCTTTGCGCCATAGCCTCTAGGGAAGAGGCGGTGATTAGATGAAGGAGCTGGGCTTGTTTCAGATCTGCAGTCCTTTGGGGAAGATGAGTATCTCTGACCCTGGCCAGGAGACCCAGGGGGCCCTGTGGAAGGTGGAGGCCTGACATCCCCGATGGTGGCCCAGGTCTGCCCCAGCGTAGAGACAGCTTTAGCAAGGGTCCCAGTCCTTGCTTCTTTTCTCATCTGAGTCCACACAGTTGCAGGAAAGGAAGGCTCCTTCCCCGTACTAGGGAGAGGTCTCAAGTCACTCTGGCTGGTGACTGTAAGGGACCTGTGCCTCCCTGGACTCTGGATCTGTGTTCTGATGAGAATGTCACCAGCTCCTGCCACAAGCTCCTAGGCCAAGAGAAAGATGGTCACTTATCCAGCCACACCAAGGAAGACGTGAAGCAAACCTGGGTTTGGACTGGGGATGAAGCGCTTGTACTGCCTTCTTGCACGGGGCAGGAAGCTGTTGTTGCTGCTGCTGTTGCTTCCTCTGTCAGGGAGGCCTCACGAACAAAAGGGCATGCTGGCAGGTCAGCTCTTCTGCCTTGTGTGTTCCTCATCTCTGCCCAGATGTACAGTGTTCCTCTGACATTAAATATCTTTTACTGAGGTTTCTCTCCCTCTCCTTATTTGGGCACACAATTATCTCTCATGATTCTCTTTTGATATTTTACTTATTTTTTGGTGCTAAGGATGAAACTCAGGATATCCTGATGTTACAGGGTTTGTGATGGGGGGGAGCGCGGGGGAGACCATAGACTCAATCTAATTATAATTAAAGATTTATTTATTAGCTGCTAGCAGGACGAACAATCTCTGAGCCAAATTTGAGATTGCCGTGAGAAGGGAAACAAGGGAAGGATTTTTAAAGGGGAAAACCACAAGAAGACTTTTCAATATCTATGCAAGCAAGCAAAAACTGACCTGTTCTGCCAAGTTAAGTTACCCCAAACAGTCTTTGGGTATCTATGTAAGCAAGTTACAGATGCTAGAAAGACATTTAGTCATATCAGAATTAAGTAGGGAGTCATGGCTGTACATTTTTTTGCTAGAGATCACTGAGTCAAGGTTACTTGTTGCTGGAGGGCTTCTCTCCAGGTTCCATTAAGCCCAGCAGTCCCACAATCCACGGATAAAATAATCACTCAGACAGTTATATTACTTATAAACTGTATGGCCGTGGCAGGCTTCTTGCTAACTGTTCTTATATCTTAAATTAACCCATTT